GATAGATAGATAGATAGATAGATAGATAGATAGATAGATAGATAGATAGATAGATAGATAGATAGATAGATAGATAGATAGATAGATAGATAGATAAACTGTATAAAAAGACACATCTCCATTTCTTTCCCTCACTCTCTGACATTAAATCAGACTAAACTTTTCCTGTTTTAGGTCAGCTAGGATTACGAAAATTATTTCTATTTGCTAAATGCCAGAGTAATGACAGAAAGATTTTTTTTAGAGATTTTTTTAAAATTACTTTCTTCAAAGTCAGAAGCTTTTGATTGGTTAATTGACAACATGTGAGTTAATTGGAGGCACACCTGTGGATGTATTTTAAGGCACACCTCAAACATACACCATGGGAATGTCCAGCCATCATATCGCTCAGGAAGGAGACGGGTTCTGTGTCCCAGAGATGAAGTGTTTTGGTGTGAAATGTGAGTATCAGCCCCAGAACAAAAGCTGAAGACCTTGTGAAGATGCTGCTGAAGCTGGTCAGAGAGAGTCATTATCCACAGTGAAACCAGTCCTGAACCGACATGGGCTGAAAGGATACTCAGAGAGGAAGAAGACATTGCTCCAAAAGCAACATAAAAGAGCCAGATTACAGTTTGTAAATGCACACAGGGACAAAGAGCTTAATTTCTGGAGACATGCCCTGTGATCTGATGAAACTAAAATTGAGCTGCTTGGCCTTAATGACCATCGTTACATTTGGAGGAAAAAGGGGGAAACCTGAGAACACCGTCCCAACTGTGAAGTACGGTGGTGGTAGCATCATGTTGTGGGGCTGTTTTGCTGCAGGAGGCACTGATGCACTTCACAGAATAGATGGCATCATGAGGAAAGAACATAATGTGGAAATATTGAAGCAACATCTCATCAAGCCAGGAAGTTAAAGCTTGGACACCAATGGGTCTTCTAAATGGACAATGACTCTAAAAATACCGCCAAATTAGTTACAAAGAGGCTTCAGGACAACAAAGTCCATGTTTTGGAGTGGCCATCACAAAGCTCTGATCTCAGTCCTGTAGAACATTTGTGGGTAGAACTGAAAAGGTGTGTGGAGCAAGGTGGCTTACAAACCTGAGTCAGTTCCACCAGTTCTGTCAGGAGGAATGGACCAGAATTCATCAAACTATTGAGAAGCTTGTGGAAGGAAACCCAAAATGTTTGACCCAAGTCATACAGTTTAAAGGCAATACTACCAAATACTAAGGAAATGTATGTAAACTTCTGACTTTGAAGAAAATAATAAAAAAATCTCTTAAAAAATGATCTCTCTCATTATTCTGGCATTTAGCAAATAGAAATAATTTTGGTAATCCTAACAGACCTAAAACAGGAAAAGTTTAGTCTGATTTCATGTCAGACAGTGAGAGAAAAAAAAAAGTTTGATATTAAATATTTTCATGAGATTATTA